GCGTGTTCAAAGCGAGGACTTCAGCCTCTAGACCATGCCGTCAGGCCCGCCACACACTTTTTTGAACTACCTTCTTGGGATTCTAGCATAGCAATCATTTTTGATAGATACTTTAGTTTCATTTGGCATAGAGTGTCTCGATTCATTCTATACTTGGAATTTCAGTTACATTTTCCCATCAAAGCATTTTCAAAACCAGAATGTATTTAGTTAAAATTAAATAAAAATAAAAATAAATTTTAATACTTCAAACAAATGGTCATATATTAGGTTAACTAAAGAGTGAGAGTAAGAAATACAGGTATCTAGACAAATTTGAATAGTAAGGGTTAGTGTTTGGTAGGTACTTAATACCAGCTAACCCAAACAAAACTTTCTGAGACAATTTCTATATTCCCGTCTCTCTGGATTTCAAATAAAAAATGCAATGGGGGTAGGTGTTTGACTCAGGAGATAGAACATCAGAGTGCCTGCTTGGAACATTGGTGCTCTGCTTCGAATCCAGCCACCTTTTGACCTGAGTACAGGGAGGCAGCAGTAAAAGAAATCGGTTTCCTGTCATCCCCAGAGCGCCCCAGATTCAGTTCGGGGCACCCGGTCTAGGCTTGTTCCAGCCCTGGTTTTGCTTGCATTTGGAGAGTGAAAAGGCAGCTAGGAAAATTTTCTGTCTTGGGACCAGCGATGATTTCACTGGTTAATCCTCCACCGTCAATCACCAAAATCCCATATGACACTGGTTCTTGTCCTGGTTGCTTTACTTCCCATCCAGCTCCCTGGTTATGGCCTGGGAAAGCAGTGGAGGATGGTCCAAAGTTTTAGGATCCTGCACCTACACAAAGACCCAAAAGAAGTTCCTGGCTCCTTGTCTCAGATCAGCTCAGCTCCAGGCCATTGCAGCTATTCGGAAAGTGGACTGGCTGTTGAAAGATTTTTCTGTCTCTCTGTCTGTAAATCTGTCTTTCTAAAAAAACATAGATAATTCTGTTTTTAAAAGAAAAATTTTCAGTTTCTTGATCTCAATCGTTCATCTTTCTGCTTAAAAAAAACCACACACACACACAAAATGAGGGCAGATGCAGGTTGAGATACTGGTATCCCATACCAAACCTATGCCTTGGTTTAAGTCTTGGCTAGGCTTCCAATTTCAGCTTCCTGCTAAGGCATACCTTGAGTGGCAACAGATGATGGCAGTAATATCTGGGTCCATGTCACTTTGTGGGAGAATCAGATGAAGGACCAGCCTCCAGATTTGGTCCTGGCCCAGTCTCACTGGTTATGGACATTTGGAATGTAAACTAGTAGATCTCCTGTTCTCTCTCTCTCTCTCTGTGCTTTCAAATTAAAACAAAAACAAACAAACAAATAAACAAACAAAAACCCAAAGCAACGTCTCGAGAAGTGATAAATCCTATATAGCCCTCTTTCTCTGCCATTTGACAGTAGACTATGCCAGCATGTTGGCCACACATGGTCTAGATGAGCTCCAAGACATCATTTGTGAGATAGGGGGGTGTAGGATTCAAAGGAGCCTCTGTGACCTCTTGATAATGTCTCACAGGATTTGTCAATCCCACAGACTTTTTGTTTAGTTTATTTTCATGCTGTATCGTGTATAATATTCTTCTTCAAAATTAGTACAGTCTACTTTGTGAGGTTGCCAGTGCTGAAGCATGCTGGCTGAGCAAGCAGCGGAGACTTGGGAAAACAAAGTAGGAACGGAAGGAAGAAAGGGAGGGAGGAGGAAGGGAGGGAGGGAGAAAAGAAAAAGAGAGAAAGGAAGAGAGAAAGGAAGGAAGGAAGGAGGGAAGGAAGGAAGGAAGAGAAGAAGAAAAGAAAGCAAGGAAGAAAAAGTGTAGTTCTAGAAGCTAAGCCTGAGAATAATAAGTAATTTTTCCCAGATATCTGCAGACCTGTCTTGTTGATAGAGAAAGCCTGATAGCTGATGTATCATTGAAATCTGATCAAATAATGCATAGTGGAAATAATAAACAAGAAAAGTTCACCTTGGTGGATGCCATTAATCACTAGTTTAACACAATTGTATGCAACTAAACTATTACCACATATGATCAAATCATGTAACACAGGAATCAGCAATAGAATATATGTCTAATTCAGTGCCAACTGATCTCATATTTAAAAAGTTTAGTTCACAAAAATACTTATAAAATGAAAGATTCAAACACTCATTCTCTTCAAAGTGTACTTGAGAGGGCAAATCCAGCAAGGCATTCTTACATGAAGTTGGCAGCCACTTGGTGTCCCTGTCCAGTGTTCCCAGCCTGCAGCTAGTGACTTTCCCATGCATGAACCCACCAGGTCATTCTTCCTAAAAACAGTGGTTAGTATGGGAAATTAAATATGGCATGAAGTTGAAGTATGTGAAGTGAAGCCTGAGCCTTCCTGTAGGGGAACATACGGCATGAGACTGAATGCACCTGCCCAGTGAGCGGAGTCCTTTCCCTGAATGTCGGCCAATGATAACTTCTTACAGCATGACTCTGTTAACACACCTGAGCCGTCTACTCTAGTTACACTGGAGGGCTAGAACGAGTCCTCCATGCTTTCTTAGCATTTCACTTAAAATCATTGGAAACCTAAAATCAAAATGTAGGAGCTTTGCAGTTTTCAAGTATTGTAACCAATGAAAACAAAGACTGCAATGAGGAAGAAACAAATTGATTTGTAACAGAGAACTGAGGAGAATACAAGTGTAAAATATCTGATTTTGAAACGTATAACTGTACTTTGCAATATCTCGACTTATGAAAGGAACTGATTGATGCAGCTACAATATACATATAACATAATAATTACTATGTATTATTATTATATATATGTAATATCCAAGTGCATTAAGATTGGGAAGATGCAAAAGTCTGCACTATATAAATGTGATGGAAAGTATCCAAATAAGTATAAAGAAAATGTGATGAGATTTATCTTGCAACAATATTCGTTGAGTGAGGTTAAAAAAGATGGCCCATAAGAAAACACTGTGCTGAAAAAAATTACACATTTATAAATATAAATATTAGCACTTAGAATATATTTTAGTTTGTAATCTTTGCATTTAGCTTAACAGGTTGTCTCATTACCTGTTTCCAGCTTTAAATAGATCAGTCCACATAGAAGGCAGCAGTTGATATGGTCAGTAATTGCAAATGCATGCAACTGTGAAGGTCTCAGGAAGCTTTATGAACAAACTAAAAACAGGAAAAAAATAGAAAAATAAATACAGTATTCTTTGGAAAAATGCCAGTATGAGCAAAAACATGGCCAAGAAACTGCTCCAAGTATTGTAATTATGTTCCAAGATCAGCTACTCAACTTATTACATTTTTAGCGTTTAGATAATCAATAAAAAGGCATTTTGTAAAATCTGGTGCGCATATCCATTTAGTTCATGTTTTTCTATCAAGGAAAGCAGGCAGCTAGAACAGATGCAAAATGAGCATTACAGCAAAAACTGCAAAACTATAACTGATTTTGATGATCAACTACTACTTACATAGTCGACGCTTTTCAAAAGCGCATTGCATGATAACAATTATAACAAAAGTTAGAACCGCAAGTTTCAGCAACTTCTCTTAGTCAGAAATTATTTTAATTATCACATTAACAAATAGTAACGGAAATGAAAATTTAGTGTACATATTTCCAAACTTAAATGTCTAAATACATAGTTTTATAACCACGGTTCTTAAAACTAACTTAGTTAAACTGTAAGCCTGTGTGGCAAACAAGCTACGTGGCAAATAAGTTAAAATTGTAGCTGTTGAAAAAAATGCATTTTGAACTAACTCTTTAAAAGTTATACTCTTCTTTTATTTCTAGCCTTCACTTTGAAAAACAAAAAAAATCCACATTCAAGGTCTTAAGTTTCAATATGAAGCTCAATACCCTAGATGGCCATTTATAAAAAGTAAGCACAAACATGATGTATTCGGTTATCTGTATTTTTTACCAGCGTGTGACAGCTCTATTCTGCAATTCCTAAAGCCAGATGAGAATCTGGCTTAGTATTTTTTCAAAACAAACTCGTGCAACGTCACAAAGATGGGAGATGATGGGAGAACCCTTAGGTTTTAGCATAAATAACAAAAGCAGTGAAGATAACTCAATTCGACCTGCATCTGTTGCTAGTGCATTTATTTTCCCAGCAGCAATTTGGACTCAAAGTAGGCCAGGTGCGGAAGAGTGCGGACAACTGGTCTCTAGTCCAAAAGGGGCTGCTAGTGGGCCCTCTGGAGTGGCTCATCTGACTGCACTCCAACTCCTGCCTCCTAACACCCCTTATGGGGTCTGCGTTCCTGCATCGGTGCGGAAGGGCAGGGGCCGGAGACCCAGTCAGGCCAGCTGTCCATCTGCATCTGACCGCGTCCGTCCGTCCTTTACAATAAAGCTGCCCTAGTTCTACTTGTACTGCATCCCTGCCAGTTGCCTTCCTTGGTCCCATCCTGAGGAAGTAAAAGGCATCCGAGAGACCTACTTGGGTTGGAGGGAGAACTGAGAGGCAGGAAGGGTCCCGGAGCGGCCTCCAGAGGCGAGGCAGTGAAGGGAGAGGCCAGGGGAGACTCTCCCCGCGCCCACCGCCCCCGCTCGGAGCCAAAGCGGCCGCAGCCGCCGGGGAGTCTCTCGGGCCTGGAAGACAAAGGAAGGCACAGGGCCCGGCGCGGACGGGGTGGGTGGGGGCAGCGACTCGCGTGAACTCCGGGACGTGAGAACGCAGCGCTCGCCCCCGCTCTCCGCCTCCCCCGGACGGCCTGAGAGAGCGAGCGAGCGTCCCCCCTCGCCGCCGGGCAGGCAGCCGGGCCCAGGAGGCCGCACACGCCCGGACACCGGCGGCCCCGGGCACGAGCCGTGAGGGCGGAACCGGCGGGCGAAGAAAGGCCGGACGGCGGGCGTGGGGGCGGGGCCTGGCTCGGGGCGGGGCCTGGGCGGGGCGGGGCGGAGCCTGGGCGGGGCGGAGCCGCTCCAGCCGGGGCTCCCAGAGACAGTCACTGCCCTGACGGCGGCGACGGCGGCGGCGGCAGCGGCGGCTGTGGTGGCGGCTGGCCTGTGGGGGCTGGGAGGAGCAGGGACCGTGGCTGCCGGGGCAGCTGGAGCTGGCAGACGCCGGGGACCAAGTGCAGGCTCCGCAGCTGGGAGCAGCGTGCCTCGGGCCGGCCGGAGCTGGCGGCTGCCGTGGGCGTCCCGGCAGTGCTGCTGCTGGAAGCGGCTGGCTTCTCAGCCGAAAGCAACTGGCTGAGGCAGAGTCCCCAGCGGCGGCGGCGGCGGCGGAGGGGACGGAGCCGAGGGAGCCGAGGTAACCCAGGGGCGGCGGCGGCGGCGGAGGCCGCTCCCTCAGGTCGGAAGCTGGCGGCTGGGGCCAGAAGCAGACCCACCCACTCACCCTCGCCAGCCCCTTGTCCTGGCACCGCCGTGGGCCGCCGGATGGGTGCGGGTGGTGAGGACTGCGCGCGCCCGCGCGCTCGGGCCCGGGGATGGGGGGCGCCCCGCTGGACGCCCACCCGGGAGACGACCCCCGGCCGGGGATCGGCAAGGACCTCGGACACCCCTCCCCCTCCAGAAGACACACCCCGGGCTCGGGGCGGGGCGGGGTGCCGGGCGCTCCCAGCCCTGGCGAGGGTAGACCTCGGGCTGGAGATCGCACCTTGGCTCCCGTCCCTTTCGGCGGAGGACCCCCCCGTGGCTCCTTGGGGACCGCTCGGACCCGAGGGGGTTCCTGCCCGCTGGGAATCCCGGAGTTCCTTTTGTCTATCAGCTGAAACTGGAGGCCGGAACTGTGGGCAGCCACCCACCCGCTGGCGCCGGAGCCCTCCTTTCACCCCTTTTCCTGCCTCGGAAAGGAATTCTCACAGCTGCTCTTCTTGCTAGCTCCATTCTGCCCCAGAGCCTGGTTATAAACCTCCAGCCTGGGCTCCAGGAAGTCGAGATTCACATTGTACTTGAACGAGCAGTCTGCTTAGTTTACTACTACTACTGCTACTACTATTATTATTTAGAGAAAACAAAATGTTTCCTCTGAGCCGCAACCCCGATCTTCCCCCTGGATGAGCAGACTATCAACAAAGAAGTGTAACTGGTGGAGCAGACGGAGCCCTTGACTGACTGGACTGTGCAAGTTAATGGAGTTTCCTTTGCTGGCTCTCTTCTCCCCAGCCCGGTGGAAAGAGCCTTTGGGGCCAGAGTTAAGGATGCACTGTATGTGCAGAAAGTATCTATTTCTCCCCCTTTTTTTCTTTCACTGAACCTTAAAAAATCTAGGGTAGTTTGATTAAAATGTAGCTGTTTGGGAAGCATAAGCTGTGGAAAATGAAAAATACTAGAAGGAAAATGTACTGGTCCAGTGAGGGGGAGTAGTTGTCCAGTATTTGGAAAGTACCCAAGGTGAACTATGTGGATTTTGGAAATTACTTTTTTTAACTGTTGGATTCTCTCGCAAATCAGCTTTTAAGGTATAGGGCTAAGAGCTTTGTGTTTGTTTTGGTTTGGTTACTTGTGGACACTTCTTGCTGACCTAGGCATCTTAAAAACAAGATATGTGGGAACAGGTTTATGAAGTGTCTGTTATCTTGAAAAATGCATTTTATGAATGCTTTGAATTAGGAAGGTGTTAACAGTATCGTTTCTGCCACAGAGGAAGCTATAATCTGAAACAGTTGCCTGGCAGTCACCCAGATGCCCTTGACTGGCAAGAGCTAGTGTTCCGAACCGTCTTCCTTTAGATGGAAATACAGAGCTACCTTCCTGATGTGTAAGTGGGCATTCTTTGATGTCGTTTAATAATAGACAACTTTTCTGCCTTTAATTTTCAGATACAGAATTAACACCTGGAATCTGGAGACGCGCTTTGTACAAATTGAAAGCTTTGGGCTTTCTCTTTAGTTCTCCAGATGTGTTATCTCATCTGTCTGCTTGAAACATCCACAGTCACATAGACTCCAGCTACTAACTATGGAGTTGTGTGACCCGTCGCAGTGTTGGAACGTTTTTGCTGAGCTTTGGAACTAGCGTTCTTTTCCCACCAGTTTAACACTTTGTCAAGAATAAGAAGCCAAACAAAGACATGCACATTCTGTTGACATATGGACTCTGTAACTGGTGAATTTTATTGAAACTGGTCACTCCGTCAAAGTCAGCTTGATATGCAAGTCATGTCCTAATGGATATGAAGACTTACGTTGGTGTATCCAGGCTCTAGCAAACAACTGAAGATAAACAGACAAGCAAAAACCTATTATTATGACTAACCCTTGGGAAGAGAAAGTCTGCAAAATGGCTCAAACCAGTTTACTGCAAGGAAAGCAATTCTACTGTAGGGAGTGGGTTTTCCACAAGCTTCAGCATTGCCTCCAGGAGAAAACCAACTGCTGCAACAGCGCTGTCAACACCCCAGCCCTTGCTGTGAATCCTGGGAATAATGCTGGAGCTGTCTCTGGGAAGGGAGCTTCCTGGGGGGTGCTGTTGGTGGGAGGGCCTGGCAGTGGCAAGACTGCCCTGTGTACTGAGCTCTTATGGCCAAGTTCACCTTCAGGTTTGCAGAGAGGCTTACACCGTCAGGCACTGGCCTTCCATTTCTGCAAAGCTCAGGACTCCGATACCTTGTGCGTTGGAGGGTTTGTTAGAGGTCTGGTTGCCCAGATCTGCCGCAGTGGACTACTCCAAGGCTATGAAGACAAGCTGAGAGATCCGGCAGTCCAGAGCCTCTTACAGCCGGGGGAATGTGAGAGGAACCCAGCCGAAGCATTTAAAAGGTAACAGTGAGGAGGAAAATGCCTTAGTGTTCAGGTTTCTCAGCAAAAATTAAACTGATGCTTCATTTTGCTTTTAACTGTGGATGCCTTTGCTGGTACTGTACATTTGGGCTTAATCGTTGCTCTGAGAGTACACATGTTTACTTTGGAGATTGAAAGAAGAAAAATTTAAGTGATATTGAGCAGTGCATATGATTGAAAGCTCACTTTTTAATTTCTCTTTGTTAACAACAATATGTTTCCCAATACCTGCAAATGGTAAAGATTTGTTTTATATGGTAGATATCCTGGAAACGAGGCTGCTTCTACAGAGAGGATAACTAACTCTATGGAGCTGAACTTAGAGAAACTCTAAGAATCAAGCACATTTTTGCTTATCGTAGTGTGCTTTCTTTAAAAATTAGTTAAAAGACATGATTAGCCATTGAAAATCTGAAGAAAATATGCCAGTGTGATTTGGAATTTATTCTCCTACTAAGTGTTTGAAAAGTTGAGTGATGTTGTGAAATTTAGGCACTGGTGAAAATTTGGAGCCATTTAAGTACTTTGAGTGAGTGATATAAACGCCGCTCCTTTCCCAAGTTCAGTTAAGCACTTTCCCGTGATAAATGGATTGGTGTGAGAAGTGAGCAAATAGTTTCTCAAAGTGTTATCAGATTCAAAATATGTTAAAGAAAACATAGGTTTTGGCACCCACGGTAAACATAGCAGACAAGTTATTATTTTGTGCTTTCTGTTGCCTCACTTCTTGAGTTATTGTTTTGCTATACACCTGTTTCTCCTCCACAGTAACTAATGCTTGGCTGACAAAAGACTGTCCCCAAAAGATTCTGGTGTGATGTGCCCTGGAGATTTCTCTGAGGTGGGAGGAGGAGCAGTTTTTGAGAAGTTTGCGAGAATTGTATTTCTAGGGAGGGATTTGAACACGATTTGAACTGCTCTAAAGAGAGAGATGTGTGTTATAATGATGTCCTCAAATGTAATGATAGAGAAAGTATAAATTTGGGGAAAGTATTGGAAATATGTCATAATCATTAGAGGAAACAATGTGTGCCTTTTTGAGACCTTGTCCTTACAGTAGTCCTGTAAGGTAGGTACATTTGTTATCCCCGATTTGTAAATGAGACAAGTACTGCACACAAGTATGAACCAAGCCGCTGGAGTACAGGAGAGCAAGTGCCAGGGCTGAGGCTTGAAACAGATTCGCATGTGTACTTGTTACTGGTGACATACTCAGGAGGAATTGATGAGAAGAGCTAAAGTTTAGAAAAATTTGGTGAAGTTGGGACATAAGAGGTGTGTCACAATGTGGTTGGAGCACAGATTTCAGATCACCCATGTGACAGGAAGAATAATATTGATTGATGGTGTAGAATTGGAGCCTGACATGGGGTTAGTTGTTAAAGTTGGTTAGGGAGAGCTGTGTGTGGCAGGTGAGATGTTCCTACAGGCTTTCTTTCTTTTTTCTTTCTTTTTTAAAGGATTTGTTTATTTTATTGGAAAGTCAGATTTACAAAGCAAAGGAGAGACAAAGATCTTCCATCTGCTGGTTCACTCCCCAAGTAGCCGCAATAGCTGGAGCTGAGCCTATCTGAAGCCAGGAGCCAGGAGCTTCTTCCAGGTCTCTCACACAGGTACAGGGTCCCAAGGCCTTGGCCCGAACTCTACTGCTTTTCCAGGCCACAGGTAGGGAGCAGGAAGGAAAGTGGAGCAGCTGGGACATGAACTGGTGTCCATATATGGGATCCTGGTGGATACGAGATGAGGATTTAGCCACTAGGCCATCGTGCTGGGCCCTCCTGGAGATTTGTTAATGCTCAAATGCAGTCCAGTAAAAATCAGGGCAAATCTCTTTATCTTTTGCCATCAAAATCATGATTAGAACTGTTATGTTAGTCTTAAGTTAATGAGCAGATCTGTTATTCAGTGTCTGTGACATGCATTTGAAATGCTAGGTTTGTTGAAATTGTTTGATTTAGAATCCATATGTAGGGAATCAGTAATGTATTCTTCAGGCATTTTCCAGTTACTTGTTTTTCAGAAGTAACTAACTGTAACTAGTTGAAGAGCTGTTTTCCTCCTTTTCTTTGATTTTAAGTGATTTAGTAAGACATTTGGATTCTGTGACTTTTTAAAAAAGATTTTATTTATTTTTACTGGAAAGTCAGAAATACAGAGAGGAGGAGAGACAGAGAGGAAGATCTTCCATCTGATGATTCACACCCCAAGTGACCGCAATGGCTGGTGCTGCGCCGAACCAAAGCCAGGAGCCAGGAACTTCCTTCAGGTCTCCCATGTAGGTGCAGGGTCCCAAGGCTTTGGGCTGTCCTCAACTGCCTTCCCAGGCCACAGGCAGGGAGCTGGATGGGAAGCAGGGCTGCCGGGATTAGAACCAGCGCCCATGTGGGATCCTGGCGTGTTCAAGGTGAGGATTTTAGCCACTAGACCACCATGCTGGGCCCTATTTTTTACATGTTTTGACAACCAAAGGCTAATTTCTTTAATTGTGCTTTCTCCAGTGTATTCAGTGTGTGTGTGTTTTAGAATTAATGTTAGAGCTTTAGTTTCCTAATAACCCTATATCCAAAGCCATATCCAAATATTACTTGCAAAAAAAAAAAAAAAAAAAGAGATTCCAAGTTAAGAAACAAGGAGATGTGGATAGCTGCTTAGATTTTATAGCTGGTTTAGAAACAGAACTAAAAATGTTTATTTCATACAACTTTATTTCATCTGAACCTTACTCTCATGGACCCTGAACCCAGGGTCCTTTTTGGCAAATTCCGTTTATGTGACAGTGTGAAATGCGAGTCTTTGTTCCTGGCATGTACCATTCCTTAACATTTATTTCTAGTTGATCTGAAGAACCAAGTATGTGCTTCCTATGTGCGTTATCAGTATTTCTGTGTTGAGTAAAAACAATTTGGTTCATGAAATGATAGCAAAAGTTAAACTTCTTTTTAGTGCATAAATTAAGAATAAATGGAGTAAAATAGTGATGAGTAATTAACAAACAAAAAAACTAGGTGATAGGTGATCAAATGCTGTCACAACTTTTTTATGTCACGAAGTCTGAATATTTTTATATTTTTATATCCTTCCAATATGTTAATGTTTCCTTATTTTTCTTTAGGATTTTAGCTATATAAGTAGCTATATAAGTAGATATTTACACTCTTTTTGTTGTTTTCCCAACTAGGCATGTGCCATTATTCATGATAGTGAATTTTTTTACACTTACCATAATGTTTTGTATACCCATTTATAAACAGTTGCAAAGTGATTATCTTTTGATTAAGTGAATAATGTTACTTGTGTGTTTAGAATATGTATGAACCCAATTGAAATTAAGTTATAAAATGAAGCTCTGGAGGACTTAGTAAGAAAGGAAATTGAACTGGTGTATTATTTAGGTCAGTTTTAACACAGAGCAGACTGGTATGGTGATTATTAATTTATTAGCCTACTGTCTGCTCTGTAACACAGGTGACTATGGCGTTAGTCCAGATAAACTTTAAGTGGCCAGATATCTCTCCTGTCTCCACTGGCTGCAAGGATTGTTGGCACACTCAACAAAAGGGCTGAGGACCGAAGGGGGTTTGCATGCATGCCTCTGCCTTACCCTCATTGTGTTGAATTTTCATGACAAAGCATTCCACTTCTGTAACTAGCTTTCATAACTACATATGGGAAGGCTAATACTACTCAGAATAATTGTCATTATCTATTCTTGGATATTGTCAGATTAAAATAGTCTTTTCGAAGTATTTTTACTACTCAAGTTTTAAGTTAAATGGACAAATGTAATTTTCTTTAAGAAAACATTTATTCATTTGGAAAGTATTACACAGAGAGAGGGAGATACAAAGAAAGGGAAAGAGAGAGAATGATTTTTTCCCATTTATTGGTTCATTCCCCAAATGACTACAGCAGCCAGGTCTGGGCCAAACCAAAGCCAGGAATCAGGAACTTTGTCCAGGTCTCTTACATGGTTGCAGGGACCCAGGTACTTGGGCTGTTTTCATTACTTTCCCGCGTACATTAGCAGGGAGCTGGAACAGAAGTGGAGTAGCCAGGACACAAACTGGCACCCATGTGGGACGCCAGCATCACAGGTGGCAGATTAACCCACTGCTACACAATGACAGCCCCAATTATAATTTTCATCAACAAAATTCCACATTTATGTTTTAGTCCTAATCATCACTTTTCACTAAATTTCCTGCCATTTCCAACTTTAAACTGTATCTTTTTTTTTTTTTTAAGATGGAATTCATTCATGTATAGCCTCTCACTTTCCCTTGTTATAATCCTTTCTTCAGTATTTCATGTCAAAGTATTGCTGCCTTTGGTTCCTGCAGTGCTTTATCACCTTGGGAGCCAGTTCTCCCTTTCCAGTCACTCAGGCCACAATGACATCATCTGTTGTTTCTGTTCGCAGGTTTATACTGTTTATAAAGCCGGCCACTCTCTTAATTCTATTAGGAAACCTTTTTATTTCTTTATTGATAACTCGGATTCTTTCTTTGACCAAAGTGATGCATTGGCAGTTGAGTATGTTTTTTACCTAATTCAGGATATTCCACGTGCATAGCCATGTATTTTTATTGTTTGGAAAAAATACCTGGACCTTTTGACCTGACAATGCTCGATTGCTTTGGAGCAGTAGCCTGTGGAGCTGAGTTAGGTACTGTCTTTGAGGCCTACATGATCTAATATGATTCAGTCCCATTACTCTATTATTCTAGACCAGGACCACTACATTTATTTTTGTCTGCCTGGCTCCCGTAAGCATTTTCAAATATAAACATAATTCTTAGTTCTGGGCAAAAATAAACACTACATTTATTAAATCATTCCTCAAATCTTACTTATCCTTGAATTTGTAGCCTTGTCCCTATCCTCTTTACTGCCTTCAATCTGGTTTTTACCTGCACTTCCAGAAAGATCCTTAGGAATAATCAATTTTGAATTTGTTGCTCAGTCTGCCCTTAGCCTTA